CTTACCCGGCCCTGAGCTGAAGTCACCCGGTATCCCGCTGGGCAGTGCCCCAAGCTTCTGCATGGACACTTGACCCAGGCAGCCAGTGGGCTGGGAGTTCAGGAAGGCATGGAGGAGGAGAGGGCAGGGCGCCACCCCGCAGCCCGCAGACCCTGGGCCCAGTCCCGGTCTCCTGAGTCACTGCGGAACCTGTCACTCCAGGAGAGGCCTCCACTTGCCATCTGTGCCCTCGATCTGTTCTCTGACTTGGGGGAGGACAGGGGCCTCTGCCCAGGCAGCATGGCCACTACCCACTCCAGAGCCTGGCCTTCCCTCCTCACCTGTCCCACTGCAGGCCTCACCCCTCAGGGCCACTGTCCCTGCAGCCCCGCCGTGGCTGAGTCCCTGTCTTTGTTTTCCCAGTCCCCAGCACAGTAGGCACTGAGAGAAGGGACGGGGCATGTGCTTGGCCCCCAAGGTGGGGGAAGCTTCCTCTGCGCCTGGGAGGGAGAGGGAGGGGACTGTTCCCGGGGGCACAGGGCACCCTCAGCCCACTGTCCCTCAGCAGCCCCGTGGGAGGGTCTGGGAAAGAATGCAGGCAGGAAATTGGTGGGACTGGAAGGGGTACCGGGACCTCGGGGCAGGAGGACAGAGCAGGTCAGACTGGACCCTGGGCTGTCCCGGTTGAGCCTTTGCAGGCCGTGGCACATTTGCACACCTGCCACCCCACGCCATGTCTGCAGCAGTGACACTGAAGGCTCAGAGCCACCTTGAGGCTGGCTGTGGTGGTGCACACCTGTAATCCCAGCACCAGGGAAAGCTGAGGCAAGAGGACTGCAGTGAGTTCAAGGCCAGCCCAGGCTACAGTGAGACCCTGTCTCAAAAAAAGAACCACCTTGATGATATCTCGTAAGGGACACACGCGATGGCGCTTGGGAAATGGCCCAAGTGGGGAGTCATTTGGAGGGGCTGAGAGTGGCCAGCTGGGAGCAGTGTGCGTGGGCAGGCCCTGGGGGCATCTCTGGAGTGGGCTGAGACACCTGTGGCGTGTGGGCTGGCACCCTAGCTTGGCCTGGGAAATCGCCTGACTTCTCTGAGCCTTGGTTTCCCCTCCTCCTCTGCCTGGTGAAGGAGGGGATGGATGGAGTTGAATAAATGCGCCTCCTCACCCTGAGAGTCCGAATTTAGGGTTTCAGGGTTCCTTGGCACTCACTCTCCGCCATCCACTCCCAGCCCAGCAAGCCGTCCTGCTCTGCGGGGCCCGGCCAGTCATTTCTCGACAAGCTGTAACCGGCACTGAATGCCACTTCTGGACAACAGTGGGCACCTTACCGCGAAAGACTCCTTCCAACTTGAGCCGTGGGCTTGCAGATGCAGGGATGGCCAAGAAAGAGCTGCCTAGCATGGGCCCCGAATGCCAGGTCTGGCAGATGCTAGATGGGGAACATCAGTGAATCCCTTTTCTCCCCCACAAACTCCCTTTCCCAAATGCAAAGTTGTGGAGAACGGTGTGCACCACTGGGGCTGCTGCAGGCCTCAGTGCAGAGCCCACTGTGACCCTGGCCTCCAGTAGGTGCTCAATAAAATAATGCTCTTTCCTCTCCAACCTATCCCTCCCCACTCCGGAGCCCTGCCCTCCTCTGTCCAGCTGCTGGCGTCGGGTGGGGGCTGAGAGGAGGGGCCCCACGGCAGCCCGGCTAGTGAGCCTCAGTCTCCTCGCCTGCACAGTGGGGGTGCTGTGGTTCCTGAGGATACGGAGCACCCTCTTCTACAGGGCTGTGCAGAGCCCAGCAAGTCAGGAGCATCAGGGAAGACCACGCAGCTGTTGGCCACTGCTTAGAGCTTCCATTCATTCATTTCCTCTCTGAATGGACATTTACTGAGTGCTTTCTATGTGCCCGGCCCTAGGACACAGCAAGAATCGCGACAAAGCATTTGCTTTCGAGGAAATGGTATTCTAGAGGGGCAGTCGCGGCGGGAGGGAGGGCAGAAGAGACCAAAAACAAGAGTCTGCGAGGCAGCCAGCCTCCTAGTAAGGGTTCCTCAGTTGTACCTACTGTGTCAGTCACCACTGCTTATTTCAACAGCTCCCGTGTGGCAGGTGATGTCTCCTTCTCCCTAGGGCTGGCCTTACTTACAGATGGGGAAACTGAGGCTCAGCAAAGTTAATGACTTGCCCAAGGTTCCCCAGCTGCAGCAGGGTAACATGGGAACTCAGGCCTGTGTCATCCTATCGTCCCTCACGCGTGATGCAGGAGGGTGAGCAAGACACGCATGGCTCCCTGTCGCCTTGCGCACCTGCAGATGGCTGAGCAGGCAGCCACAGCATCGGTGTTTCTGGGACACTTCCGTGTGCCTCCTCCCCTTCATCCCGGGCCTGTGGTGCTCGCTCCTGTCACTGTACCCATGTCACAGAGAAGGCAACAGAGGCTCCAGGAGGTTCCCGGGCCCGATGTCAGTTACATAACCCAGTGGCAGCAATGGGACCAGACGGTTCCCGTCTAATGTCGGTGGACAAGGCCAACGTCCGGGTTCGACAGTGACCCCTAGATACCTGGGTCCCTGGAGGCTCTGAAGCCAGGAGTGACTGTCCCACATTGCTTGGCAGTCCCCCAGCAAGCAGGTGCTGAGGGGAGGATCCACATGGGGAGGGGAAGCCCATTGCCCCCGGGGAGCCTCTCCTCTGGCCTAGGGGTCCACCTGGAATTCAGGGCAGTGTGTCCCGGGCATGCTGGGGACGGGTGGAACAGAAGCTGTGGTCCCTTCTGTCATCATGCGCTGCCCAGGGGACTCCAAGACCCCCAGGGCTGGTCACCTGCTGGGCGGTGGAGCGGAGGTGTGGGCAAGGCTGAGACCGAAGCCTGGGAGACACACACGTCTCAGGCCGGGCTCCCTGCCCCTCCTCCATCTCCGTCCTGCACCCTTGGGCTGATGAAGCAGTCTCCGCAGGTACTCCCCCTCTGTACCTTGGAGTTACAAAATCCCTGGGGACACTTCGTGGTCTGTATCGGGTGCCCAGAGTCCAGGTTGGGGCGCGGCTCAGCTCAGCTGCCCACCAGTTGGGTGCCCTGGACAAGCCACACTTTTCTTCTTCTGACCTCAGTTTCTTCATCTGTGAGTGAGGAGACACAAAGACTTGTCTGTACCTTCCACCTCCCCTCTTGTGAGGACAGATACTACTGTCCTGCACACACTGTCACAGCTGGTATTTGGGGCCAGGCTCTCCGGCCAAGCTCTGTCTAAGTGCTTAGCCACTGGGCATTTGTTGGCACCACCCCTGGGGTTTGCTTCCTGTGCATTTGATCCTCTGCAGCATGAGTGGGCGCCCAGGGCGGCGTGGAGCGCCTTCTCCTGACCCCTCCTGGAGTCCGTGTTCCTGCTGGATGGTGCCCCCCGAGCATGCGGCGGGACAGGCTTGAGCTTCCAGTGTGTGCCGAGGAGACAGGATGGGGCCACCCAGCCACCCTCCCATCTCCTGCTCAGCTAAGTCGCACCTCCTTGCTTGTCACTGAGCCCAGCTAGGGCCTGGGGTGGCTGCAGGACTTTCCTGGTGCCCTTTCCCTGGGACCCCTCCCATCAAGTACTCGTTCTTTTCCAGCCTCACCAGGGCTCAAGACCTGATCGCTGTCCCCTGCATCTTTCATTCAGATGCACGTCCTTTGCAGAGCCGGGCAGTGTGAGGAGGCCCCCAGTCCACTCCGACCCACAATGCTCTCTTCCATCTTCACATGGCCATGACAGGGTCCTGTGTTTCCTGTGAGCCCAGCCGAGCTGTCTTCTTGATTTCATGTAACAAAGCATTCCTGGGTTCTGGCACCAGAGCGGGGTTCACCCTGTGCATGCACCACGGTGTCCACAGTGGTCTGGCCCCACCCTGCCGGGCACATGCTATGGACAGCAGCTCTCTGATGTGGACTGAGGAAAGGATACCTGCAGGGCTGTGGCTGGGGAGGAGCTCAAATCGTGGGCTGTGCAAGTCCCAGAGGTGGAGGGGCCATTGAAGTGGGAGGCCCCACGCTCCTGGGTGCCCAGTGTGGGGCCGTTTGTCCAGCCAGCCGCCAGCCATGTCCTCTCTCTTACCCTGTCAGGGGCTCCCGTCAGGTGGACACTGGCTTTAGCCACGTTCCACACCTGAGGAGACAAGGCCTCCCAAGTCACAGGAAGGGGTGGAGCTGGCATGCAGACCTCAGTGTCCTGGACTCCAGAGTCCCTGTGTTAGTTAGCAGGGATGCTGGGGCAGGGCAGGGCGCGCTGCTGTGGAACCCCGGAGAAAAGCCGGCCCTGGCATAGGGAAGCTGTCTGCTTCAGAAGGCAGCAACGGTGGGGGCTTGTGTCTCGGCAGCCTGGTGAGGCGGGTGGAGAGAGAATGTACCGGCCCCAGGATGCCAAGCAGTAGCCACCTCTCTCTCTCCTCCTCCTCCTCCTCACTCCATCTTCAGCAGCCCTTAAAGTCTCTCCACCCCAGTATCTGGAAATATTTTCTCCATGCCCTGCCTGCCTGTCTGGCTGTGCCCCAGGCACCTGCTCCTGGCTCAGGCCTCTTGCCAGGCCTCCCGAGACACCACGCAGGGCTGCCCAGCAGTGCCTGGGTCCCCAGGGCCGGGGTCGGTCTGAACCCTGTGGCACAGGTGCTGCTCTCCAACCATTTCTATGGGGTGGGGGACATTGGCCCTAGGAGGCCGGGGGCGCACTGTGCTGGCCTCCACCCAGGACTCTGTCTCGGGCAGCCCAGACGCTCAGTCTAGCGAGGGGGTCACCAAGGAGGGCAGAGGCATCTGAACAGCAGGGGACGCACAGTGAGGACAGTGGCCACGTCAGGCACAGGGACGAACCCTTCCTGTTCTCTGCCACCCCACGAGAGAGACTGGGTACAGGACAGGTGGGCGGGGTGTGTACAGTGGGCGCTCAGCCGGTGTCTCAGTCTCTGGGGAGCCCTCCTGGGCCAGGCCTGCCTCCCCCAGGCGCCTGCGGCCCGGCCCACAAGACCCCCACAGAGCCTCTCCGCTCTTCTGTCCCCCCAGGGAGCCGGGAGGCGGCCTTCACCTACGCCATCATCGCTGCAGGCGTAGCCCACGCCATCACCGCCGCCTGCACCCAGGGCAACCTGAGCGACTGCGGCTGCGACAAGGAGAAGCAAGGCCAGTACCACCGGGACGAGGGCTGGAAGTGGGGTGGCTGCTCTGCCGACATCCGCTACGGCATCGGCTTCGCCAAGGTGTTTGTGGATGCTCGCGAGATCAAGCAGAATGCTCGGACTCTCATGAACTTACACAATAACGAGGCGGGCCGCAAGGTAGGCAGCCAGGCGGGGCCGGGCTCACACAGGGCCACAGCCCGCTGTGTCCTCGCTTCCTGCACCCGGTCGGGGGGATCCTTCTGCTGGACCCTGACATCCATCTCGGCCGGCCGGGTTTGTCTCGCATGAGGTTCTGACCAGAGAGGCGGAATTTCTGTTAACACAAGGCAGGAAGAAGGGTAGATGTGAGCGCTTGTCTTGGGGTCCGGGGTCGGCAGTCCAAAGCTCTACAGCGGAGGGCAGAGTCAGGCAGAGACATCCCAGGGCTTGGCTGCCACAGCGGCTAACCAGTCCTTGGTCTCCTTAAGCAAGATCTAACGCTCAAAATGAAGGTGAGCATTCCCTCTTTACTGTGCCTTCACATCCTCCTGGACTTGAGAGTCAGGAATGTTTTTGAATGTTCCCAGAGGAGGTGGCTGGGACGGATGGGGAATGCCACCCCCTCCCGTGAGAGCGGCTGTCCAAGGGCAGGAGGAGCAGAGGGGCCTGCAGACCCGGAGAATATGGCAGGAGGTGTCACAGGGAGCAGGGCCTGTGGATGTGAGGACTGGCCATAGTCACTGAGAAGTGGATGGAGTTCCCAATAAGGGACTGAGCTGCCCATCCCAGGAAGCATTCAAGCGTCTGCAGTTGGCCAGGCCTCTCGGGGGGGCCGTCAGCACTCTGGGTGTAGACCTGAGGCTGGCTGTGGTGCTGGCCAGGTTTGTGAAGGGTGGAGTTCTCAGAGCTGACCCGGGCTCTCTGAGAAGCGCTGTGAGCCAGCGTGAAGAGGAAGGAGGGCCTGGCGCTGGCCTTGGGTGGGGGACAGGGCACTGCAGTGTCAGGCCCAGCGGGGCCACTGCGAGGAGCCACAAACAGGCAGCGGCAAGTGCGGAGCCGGGCTGAACCAGGAGCGCGGGCCCAGTCCCCAGCCCCACATCGGGGCTCCAACCCTCTGTCGCCGCGTGGCGCTCTGGGCCCTGAGTGGCCAGAGGCTCAGGTTTTGGTCTCCGATTTTTACGCGCAGTCACCTTGTTTTGAAAACTGGTTGTCATCAATCACTTAAAAGACAAGAAAAGCCAAAACCAAAGATCCCCTCAGGCCTCAGACACACGCAGCACTGGCCGAGCAGGGGCTGGCAGCTTCTGCCTGGGCTTGGTGACGGGTGGCAGGTTGGCAGGGTCTTGTCCTGGCGGAGTCAGGCTTCTCTAGCTGCAGGAGTTTCAGCTCACGGAGTCCTCACAGAGTCTCCAGGAGGCAGAAGGCACCAACCTCCTTTACAGGTGAGGAGATCAGCACACAGAGCAGTCAAGGGCCCTGTGGCGGGTCCTATAGCTAATAACTAGCATGTCCTGCTGTGGCACACATGCCCGACCTCAACGTATGTGTACATGGCCACAGCGTGGCTTCGTGGCCAGGCCACTGGGTGCAGGTCCAGCTCTGCCATGCCTTCGAACACCAAGGGGCCTGGCCTGGCATCCTCAGAGCTCGCCCCAGGCACACAGGTGCTGGCAGGAGGGGTCTCTCTGGCCCTGGCAGTGATGGGGAGCTGCACACCTCCATGGGAGAAGGCCCAGTCCCTCCTCTGGCCCCGAGGCCACACCCCGTGTGTTAGAGCCTCCCTCCTGGCAGCCCTGCTGAGTCACATGGGTGCCACTCACCTTGCCTGCCCCATGATGGCCCTGGGTAATCACCTGAGGCCCTGCCTGTCTGGGCCCGTGGCTGGAGCCTGCCAGGGGCGAGACCTCACAGCAGGCAGGTTCCCGAGACTCCTTCCCCACCTCAGGGCCGGAGCCCACAGGTCACAGGTCACAGGTCACAGACAGAGGCAGGAAAGGGGCCCTCCTGCCCCACAGTCCTCATCTGGGGCTGCCTGCCTGGGCCACAGTGAGGACCCCAGGGGGAGGAACCAGGGTCTGCTGGCTCTCCCGGGCATGTGGCTTTTTCTTCTTTTTTTCTCTTATTCATGCTTGCGGTATGTAGTGATTACATTCACAGTGGGAGTGGCGCGTGGATGTCACACATCTGAACACCTTTCCACCCCTTTCTCTTCCCTCTGCCCCCTTCCTCCATTTCTTGACCCCCTTCCTATTTGAAAAAGATCTTCCTATCTTTTATTTTGCTTTTAATTTTTACTTGGGGTTTCTCATATGAGAGAAACCATGCAGTATTTAAGTGTGCATCTCTGATTTGTTTTACTTAACATTATGTCTTAAGGTGCATCCCTTTTCCTACAGGTGATGCAAGCTTGTTTTTCCTTATGGCAGAGCAGTACTTCATTGTGTGAAAATACCACATTTTCTTATCCACCCAGCTGTCGAAGAAAGATAAGATAGGCTGTTTCCTATTTGCTATTGTGGATTGCGCTGCTATAAACATGGTTATTCGCGATTGTGAATTGTTACTATCAACACGGATGGCATGGATCACGGTACTGTGATGTTTTTAACTCTTTCAGAAAGATTCCTAGAAGGGGAATCGCTGGGTCAAATGGAATGTCTAGTTTTGGTTTTCTGAGGACTCTCCACACCCTGATCTCCATAGTGATTGTCCTAGTTTACACTCCCACCACCAGTGCAGAAGGTTCCTTTATCCCTGCAGCCTCTCCAGAATTTATTATTGGTTGATTTCTTGATGATGGCCATTCTTTCTGGAGTGAAATGGAATTTCAGTGCTGTCTTAATTTGCATTTCTCTAGTGCAGGCATGAGGCTTGTGGTTGCGGTTCAGTCACTGGTGGGCAAAGCTGACATGGGAGCCATTGGTCGCTCCCGGAGGAGGTGGCCCCAAAATGAATGGGGTTTGGTTAAGCAGGGAAGAGAGCAGGCACCGGACCTGGGGGGGGTGTGGGGCAGTGAACAGTGTTTCCAAGGTGGAGTGTGGGGTGAGTACAAGCCCCACCCTGGCTGGCCTGGGGGCCTTACAGGGGTGACCGTGGCCCGGGTGGTCTGCAGGGTCAGTCCCCTGCTCAGCGAAAGAGGCAGCCTGAGGATCTGCCCCAAGTCCCCCGGTGAGCAGCTTCTCCTTGTGGCCCATGTCAGACATTTCTCCATTCAGAGAAACGTCCCCACCTCTCCCTTCCATTCAGCTGCATCTGGGATGTTCCCTGTCTCGGGCAGAAGGCTCACAAAGGACAGAGGTGCCAGGTGTTCCTGTCGCAGCTGCTCCCCAGCCCTGGCACACAGCAGGCACTGTAAATATGGACCGGGTGGGTAGCTGAGTCCCTTGCAGTTGCTGGGAGCTACGGATGGTTCTTGTGCAAGAGAGGGGCAGAAGTCATAGAAACAGACCCTTGGCAGGAACCCCGTGAAAACTGGGCCAGCAGCAGGGTGTGGGGGAGTGCAGGGAAGCCCAAGGGGAGGGATAGCCAGGGCAGAGTGTGGCCCAGACCTGGCCCTCGGGCACCCAGGGCACTGGCCACACAGCTGAGCAGAGAGACAGGGTGGTGACCTCCCAGCGGACCCCAGGCAGGAAGGTGCAGAATCAGCAGCAGCTGCAGCGGGTTCCGTCCCTTCGTCCACCGGGACAGTGACCCTGGCCTTGTTCTAGGTCACAGGTATAGGCCAGTTGGCTCCCGGGATGCAGACAGCGCTGCTGGGTAGCAGGATCAGGACCCCGGGGACGCCCCAGACACACAGCAGTATTGCTGGGGAGCTGGCAGGGAAAGGGCACAGCATGTTTGTGGACGAGAGGCAGCCAGGGCTCTGGGTGAACCCACCGCATGCATGGCCCAGGAGGGACACGAGACACCACTGGTGTCTTCTGGGGTCCCAGCGGGGCAGCGCCAGGCCTGCAGCTGTGGGTGGGACATGGGGCTGGCAAGGTCACCCCACTCCAAGGTCATGTGGCCCACAGTGAGTCACACAATGGTCAGGGCAGGAGGCGGCAGTGGGTGCAGCCATCCAGGGACAGGGTAATTCCGGGACTGTCGCCTCCACTGTTGGCCGGAACTCACAGACTGGGCAGCCCAGGGTTGTAGACTATGAGGCTCACATCCTGGCAGGTGAGTTCTCGATTCCAGAATCCTTGGCTGGGAGGGAGAGAGGACTCAGAAGTTATGTGTTGAAATCTATGGGTGGCTGGGTCTTTTCAGCTCTTTATTATTTCTTTTCGAAGGACCCATGGGTCATGGTCTGAGGCCACTCTGTCTACTAAAAGTCAGACAAGAGTGGCAAAAACCATGACTGAGGACTGATTAACCAAGGAGAAACATGATACAGAAGATACAGAAAAGAGGTGAGAGGAGGAATGGTTTTGCTTAGGAGAATTCTGAAGGCTGCTGAAAGCAAGAAGGGAACTTTAGGTGGGGCTTTGAGGGATAAGTAGGAGTCCTCAAGATGGACAATGGGTGCTGGAAGAAAGAGGGCTGTTTGTTCAGGAGCAGACCCGTCGCTCAGTGGTACAGCACATGTGTGTGAGGCTCCAGGCTCCCTGCGGCTGTGTCACTGGAGTGGGGCCAGGGCAGAGAAACTCGGAAGGAGGTCCAAGGGTGCTGTTGGTGCCTGAGAAGGAGATTTCTCGGCCACAGCTGGGGATGCGCTGGGCAGCTGCTGCTGGGACCTCAGCTCTGGAGCGAGCTCCCAGCTGGGGCTACTTGCTGGCAACCAGCAGCAGGAGGTGGTACCCCGGCCTCTGTAAAACTGGCACCATTTGGGGAAATAAGTGGGCACTGGCAGCCACAGGAAGGAAAGAAGGCCAGGCAGGTGTAGGGGAACCAGGAACCTTGTGCTCCCCAAGGTGCCAGCACAGTCATCCTGTGCAGGAGGTGGGGACAGGGACCCCAGTGTGCACGCTGAGCCCCTACCCTGTGCCTGGCTGAGGCTGTCTTGCTGGCTACACCCCAGGGAGCTCTGGGGCCCCTGGAGGGGGGAGCGTGGGGATGGGGACCCAGCTGGGCTGGCCTGGCCCCCGCTGGAATGTGGCTGCTCCTGCGGTGAGCTCAGGGCCCTGGAATTCCACCTGAGGAGTGCTGCACTGCCACCTCCCAGCCTCCTCTTGCGAGGAGGGTGCAGGTCTTGT